AAAAAAAAAAAAAAGCTAGTTTACTCTATTCAAAATTAATACCCAAAATTGTGCTAACAGGTTGACATCCACAAGTTTTTCAATTTTTTCATCCGGAGTGTTCAGGAATTTTTTGCTATTTAAGACTCCAGCATTGTTGATCAGAATGTCAACTGAATTATCCCACTCTTTTGCTGCTTTATAAACTGCTTCTCTGTCGCTGACATCCACAGTTTGAATGGTTACCTGCAAATACAAATAGTTGATGAAAAATTCTCAACAAAAAATTTTTAAATCTTAAAGGTTTTTTTTGTCAGATTTTAACAGCGATAACATACATATTTTATAAAGGTTAGGTTAAGTTTAGACCAGACAGTCACAAATAAGTTTAAGTTTAAGATAAGTAAATTATATGTTAAACTCTGTAACCAGTTAAACCAGCTGTATGTGTGGAAAAACAATCCATTTTCTTTCAAACAACCACAGAAAAGTTGTCTAACTTTTTAGCTTACAATAACCAAATGAACATTTTTGCAAATAAAAACAAAATCTATAGCAGTGTTTGAAAGGTTGTGCTAAAAACAGAAGCAAAAAAAAAAAACTCAAGTATAGAACGGTTAAATAAGTTGAAGTGATGCTTGATGGAACATAAAAAAACCATATTTGATGTATTACGCAAATCTTGTAAGTAGCCAAATAACTGTAATACTTCAAATGTGTTCAGAAAATCAATAAGGGTAAAATTTTTTTGCAATGTTACAAGGAGAAGAAGAAGTATTACAAGAAAACTTGTTTAGTATTTAATGTTTCTTGGAAAAACTGTTCAAAAATGTAGTTTGTATTTCTAAAGCTTTTTTCAGTTCTCAATAAAAAATAACAAATGGCAGATAAACTTATCTAAAAAAACCACATTCCTTTGATCACTGTAACTATTTAACCGTTTATCATTGCTTTTGATTACTCAAAATAATAAATGATATGAATAAAATAACAACAGTAAATTCAACAACATTTCCTAACGTTACTCCTCTTTTGTTTTTCAAATTTCACTGTCAGGTTTCAAATTTTTGTTGTCAAATAAAAAGTAGGTCAAATTTCATAGTTGAATACCAGAAATTCTTCAATTATAAAGGTAAACGAATACTGCAATGTTGACGTTAACAAATGCAGCCAATAGCTCATATCTATTAGCCATACAGTAGAAAATGTTTGATTTTTCGAGGAATTTTTTAACTAAAGGTAATTTCAAGAAAGTTACAATCAAAATACCACTGTCCGTAAAATATCTGAAAATTATTTGCAACAACAAACTGTTCAGTATCAGTTACATAGAGACCTAAAATAAGGTTTCTACAGTAAACAGAAAGTTTTTTAATTCATGAAATGCCTAAACTTTAGTCATACTCTTTTATTCAAGACTATTTTTCGCTCTTTTAACCTACTTTTAACTACTGTAAAGTTATTGGAAATGCTGTCATCATCTTTTTAACCAATTTTAGTCAACGCTAAAAACTTCATTATAGCACTAACTTACAGTTTATTGTACATAAAGAGAAAAGCTTTACAGCAAATGTTCAAAATAAAAACACCTTTCTACTTGTTGCTGTCTGCTAATAAACTAGTAGTTGGTTTGCTAAATAATTCTTTCACTAAAACAGATTTTTTTTTTTACAGTTTAAGTTATGCTAAAGTAGCAATGTTTTATTGTTTACAATTAGTTTAAAAACTGTTTAAAACAAACTGGATAAACGGTAACAGGGAAGAAACTTCAATTATTTGTAGACGAAAAGAACAGTAGAAGTAACAGGAATTTGGTGAACTGCAACTCATCACTGTTCATAAAACTAGAACCAAGGAGAAAGTCATAACCAAAATAGCCATTTTCTGATGTTTTCCTTCTGTTATTGATTTGGTATTATTTAGAAATAAAATGAAATTTCTGTAAGTTAGTTTTATTACCTTTGCAGCTAACCGAGTAATTACACATTGAAAT